TCAGAAAGACTTGCTTTCTTTTGCGCTTTTGAGGAATAAAGGTTTTGTTGCCCTACTCGTCGACTTCAATTCGGTCATTTTACGGCGGTTGGGGCTCGATACAGTGTTTGGTGAATTTCTAGAAAATAAAAACAGCTCTGAACAAAAAAATTATACCACGTTTATAGAGTTACCCTAAGGTATCTCTGAGCGAAATATGAGGATAGTGATTTTTCCGATCATGTGCCACCTCCCACGCGGTGATAAAAAAAATTCGCTCTTAATTATTTATCTCTCAACCTCAATGTGATTTATATTGTTTTATTCCTCCAAGCCTTGGAACAACAACACACTTGATACTTGATACTTGATACCGATCAAACAATCAGCGTTTGACTGCAAAAGCCAAAACAGGAACTCTGGAGTCAGGGTTAGCCTTGCAACAATAACACACTTGATACTTCCGATCAAACAATCAATCTTTGACTGCCAAAATCTGGGTTCAGGGTCCACTAATAGCAGTTGGACAAGGCAGACAAAAACAGGAACTTGAATCTCATCGTTGTAACTAAGACCCAAATAACTACGCACTTCAAAATCAAATCTCATCCGATAGCAAAGAGGACTTGTGAAAGAAAATTTGCTTGAGAAAAATTCACCACTTAAAATCCTTCAAAGTTTTGTAGATATTGAGTATCTTTGTCCGACTTGAGAATTGCGCCAGTGCAATTTTTTCTCCCGCAAGTTTGTTTGAAAGTACATACACTGGAATGGAAATTGGATTTATATGTCGACGAAAATCTATTATATCATTGCACCGGCTTCATTGCCGAGAAAATATTTTCTAGTGATCAGGTATCCAAAGATCTTCATGGCTGAACCTGGAATTTTCGCATCATAAAGAGCGGAACACTTTATATTTCGACGTACCTCTTATGTAACCGATAGCAACCACGTAGACGTATTTTCAAACAGGAACTTGAAATTCTCCGCAATCGGTCCATGGACGTCATCAATTTATTGAGCGGTCAAGTGCACCGAACCTTATCACCCAGTGACTTTTGATAAAGTGTACTACAAGGTATTGTTTACATTTCTTGTCGCAGTGTCTGCAACGACAATGTTCGTGTCACATTTGTTTACAAGACAGTCGCTGCAAATCAGCCACAATTTTTTAACATGAAAATTTAAATAATCTACTCAAATATTTAAACACCTGGCCACGTTTTTCTTTCTTTCTTAGGCGCTCCAAAACTGCTTTATAGCTTTATTTGTTTTCCCTATTGTTGGTCACCGCGACTAGCTAAGTGAGGAGATGAAGACACCGATGTTGAGTATCATAAAAAGTCTGGCAGTTCAGTCCAATGTTTTTGTTAATTGATTAAACTTCAACTTATCACATATAAGGTTAACAGTACCATGCTTAAGTTGAGCCATTGCGCCAGTTAAGCAGGAGACGTAGGCCATTGAAAATGAAGGCGGGAAAACTAAAATTTATCTCCACATCACTGCTACACTACGCGGAGACACCCTGGAATGCTGGACAGCATCGGCAGATTCTAGTTAGATAGGCGGATTTGAACAAACTGAAAATGCATGAAAGGCGCTTCAAACCTCAATGACGTGAAAGACTGCCTACGCAACAATCAAGTATTAGCATTAATTATAATTGCCTACGTTGTATTTATTTTCATGCATGCATTGGCTTCATTTAGCCCACAGAACTCTCCTTCAGACCACTAAGGAAGGAAGGGACCAAAACTAATCCTCACGCCTCACGACTTCATAGAAGGAGCCTCGTTGTTTTCAAGTTTATTCAATTATCATGTTTTAGCTGGTACTTTTTATTCAGATCAGTCTCAGTAACACTTCCAGTTTGACTAGTCGACCACAGGTACTCTCAACATTTTCCCTCTGAACTATCAAGGAACTAGGCCACCTGTTACCACTAAGTTCTTGCTAAAAATGGCGCTTGAATAAGGATCCTTTGTTGGGTAGTCTTTCCAAATTGCCCTTCACTATGTGTTCTTTCAGCCTTAAGTACGTGAGAAAATGATACATTGATATGCTCGCGGTTCTTTTGTACTAAACATTGGACGTTCACCAACAAGTTACAATCTTGTTAACTTAATTTTTTCTTAATGATTCATCCTAGATTTTTGTTGTAATTTTCGGTGATGTTCTATAAACCCAAACACATTTTCATTGCTTTAGTATTCAGGCGTCGGCTGTATTGTGTGATTTTTTTATTTTCCTCATGGCCCAGTTTCAGATCGTTTGAATCTGGTTTCTTCAACACATTTTCCTGAGGCGAAATATATTTTAATAAAGCTTAACAGTATTTCTCTACCGGAATGGCTTAAAAAATGCGTATTGCTCGCAGCCTAAGCAAAAAGCACGTGAACATGCACAAGACCTCCAGTTCACTTTTTCTCTACTCAGATGCGTAAAACATGCACGAAAAGAGCTGTTTCATACACATATGCGATCTAGGAATCTACTTCCATGGTTTATGAGGGTACATAATCTTAAAATTCAATATACAAATTGAAGGAAGTTGAAAAAGCCTCTTTTTTTAAACTTCAAGGGGGTAAACTCCTTGATATGCATCGATGATCTTAAATTGGTGTAACACTAAATTTTTCGAAGACACCTAGCCATTAACGGATAACAACAACTTTATTCGCACTATACAAATACAGTTACAAGTTTCAAATTCCTACATTATTGTAGGAATCCGAGACAAATTCCAGACTCAACTAGACCGGCTTTCCTTTTACCATCATGAAGACACGAGTAAAAAAACAGCAGTACCCCCATTCGAGTGATTCACAAGAACTGACATAAAAATGATGTTAGTCTCATCGGTCAATAAGTAGCATCCTCAAGGTTACCTATCGCAGAGATGAATGTCAACTCTTGATGAATGCTTAGAAGCCTCTTCCGGATAAAGAGCTAAAAGGGGAGTTTTCAGCAACCATTTCATAATCTTAATAAGCAAACGACTTTAAACAATCTCACGAAAAGATGCATCGTTCTGGAGCGTCGCCGCTGATCTAGGTGATGAATATAATACATAGGAAGACTTAACCAGCCAGTTTATCTCTTAGGTTGTTTTGGGTGACCAGCTACTGTCTCTTTTGTTAATAAACTTGTAACTGTATTTGTATAGTGCGAATAAAGTTGTTGTTATCCGTTCAGGGTAGACATTACACGGCCTTGTTATTTCTTCGCATAAGTTTCTATTGAAAAGTTTATGAGAACCTTACCTATTTACTGCACTTTTGCAGTAGGAAGAACTACTATGATCTCGTTAGTGTGTCAGCTATTTTAACCATTCAACTTTAAGAAATGATTGAGGTGTAACTTCTCACAATGTCAATACATTAACCAGCATCTTATCATTTTTTTTTTCACTTTTTTTCCCTCTCTATTTTTTTTTTGTCTTTCTTAACGAGGAAATATTTAGCAGCTAAAAGAGAGATCTTGGGAGTTCAAGGATGCTCAAATGAGTCTAGAATTTGATCGCTTTTATCAAAATTAGAAGTCCATTTAATGGAAGGGCACTCGAATGGCACTTCAACACAAAAGTGTTAATAATACTTGGACTGCCAAGAAACACTCAAACGTCACATTAGGCCTTAGAAGCTGGAACCTTCTAAAATTTTCACGTTGGGACGTGTAAAGCCCACGTAACACGCCCAAGATTAATATTTCACTATATAGTTTAAACCCAAGTCATGCAAGTCGTGATTATGTCTTAGCAGCTGAGACAAACACACCTGACCGCAAATATAAAGCTTCTTAGTTACTTGACTAAATCTGTTCGACAGGAGCACGCCAGGCAGCCGCGGCACTGTGTTACGAGTTATTAACTTCATAAGGTGTTTCTCAGCAATAACAAATCTTCCGTTAGAAGGCCACGTGGTGATGCAGCTTTGTTTGTTTTCCTTTTAGCTGCAACCTCCGACATTGTTAAGAATGAAAGAACCATTTGACTAATCAAAAATTCATCACATAAAGAAGGTGTCCCGGTATTTTTATTCTTCTCCACGCACACCGACAACAACGGAGACAACTCCTACACCAGTTCGTAACATTTCGCCTTCATTACCACCATAATGACAACCTCCTACGGTTTTCCGCACTTCTTTAAAATCCTCAATCATACTTTGGATCTTTCGTGTTCAGAGATGGCATTGCTATACAAAGAGGACGCCCTCGGCAATCAAAATCCTCAGACTTTGTAACTTATTGATTAGAAAATGTCGCTGACATAAAAAAATTTGTGGAATTACATTTTAAATCAGTGACTCTTGACTTCCGTTCAAGAAAAGGTAGAAGTCTAGAAAAACATAAACGTAGCAGTCGTAGGTTTTTAAAAATCTAACAGGATGCGCCTCGTGAATATTTGATTAACGAAACTGATGAGTATCAAAATAAAAAAACTTCCATAATAGACTCAAGCCTCTGTGGTCATTGGGGGCCGCAGTGTTGCACTCCTACGTGTTACAGTAACGTTGTAAAATAGTTATTCGTTAACCGCACTCCCATAGAAAAAAAGAAAACAAACCAAAAAGGTGAAATATTTGAAACAAAAACTGCTTAAAACCATAGAGGTATTAAACCATTTGAGTGCTAAGACGTCACAGGACGGAAGGCATCAATGGAGTCTTTTATCAGGGCTGTTAAGCAAACAACGTCGAAAAGTTCGCACTCATTTGGTTATCGTATCTTTTTCTGGTTGGGAAAAATACGTAATTTATTGTAACAAATCCGAGTTAAAACAAAGACGTCGAACAATTAACTCAGCAAAAACAGGATCTCTCTTGCAGCAGCTTAAGGAAAATTCATTTTCTGGGAGGAGGTGATAATAGGTCATCACCTCTTATCCTAAATTGAGTTCCTCGAATTAATTTTTCTAAAGGAAATTGCCCATTGCGGCTTTGAAGTTCTGAAAAGAGTGATAATAAAGCTATCAGGCGTTTCCTTATTAATGACAGCTAATTAACCAGCGAGATCTTTGTCAAAGCGGCTGAACTCGTTATTACGGCGGCCGAAAACATATAAATTTCCTCCACCGTTCTTCCATTTCAAGCGTTACCTTACGGATACAAAGTTGAAAACAAAGATCAGGTAAGACCAGTGTTATTATGACCGTAATCTGTCTATTGTAGGGTATATTAAGTGCTTTTGAAGAACGTGCGCTCCACACGAAATTTTAATCAACTAAAAGACAAGGAGCATATCCCTATACGTCGATTTTGCGACAGACTTCGCTAAGTAGTAAAAGCAAATTGAGATAATCTCGTAAGAATCGTTTTGATTTTGCTTTCTTTTTTTGAAAATCGTCTCATATCAGTGGTGGACCTTTCTAGTACTTGACAATAATATATTCTTGATAAGGATCATAAGAATAATGAAAACTTTTAAGAAGGAAAACAGCTCTAATCGCAATTTTGTAGCGCCAAACAACACAGCTACATGGGAAAAAAGAAGAAAAGCTTTCCTTTAGTCTTCACATTAACCATTTTGAATTAACAACGAACGAAACGCTAAAAAGATGCTTTGTATATAGCTAGTTCACAATTTTGGGAATTTTTTTTCAATTTTTTTAAAATTTTTAATTTTCGTCTTTTTTTACGTTCGAATTGATTTTTGATCCCATAATCAGATAGGCATTTATAAAATGGAGTGCAGATGTAATAATTATTTATTTTTTCACTTGCATAAGTTCAGTTAGAGATATTTCCAATTATTAGCGCCCTATTCAATTCAGTGAAATGGTTATATGGTTATATAAAGAATAGTTATTACCTATCTTAGAGACAAAGGGTCTTCAATCGACATTGATGAAAACGATCGCTAGCGATGGTTCAAAACAACTCGCATTCGTCTTGCAAAAACACACTTTGCGTAATGTTGAAACCAATTGAAGGCTGCTAAAGAAAAACTTAGAAACCAAATTAGTGGGCTTGGTTGCAAATTAAACTTTGATTTGCAGTCGAGACTGGCGAAGTGCTTAGTTGGTCACAAGGTTCTTAAGTAAACGCACGACTGTTCCAGAGTGACACACCCAGAACCGTGTGGCAGTGAACCGTGTCAGTCCACTAAAACACCTTTACTGTTTCTTGTCTTCTTTACAGTAATTCAGACAAGCGTTATCAATGAAGAATATCACGTGGTGTATGACCATTTTGGTTTCCAGTCTTCTCATAATTGCAACAGGCTCACGGCAGACTGATCATGGTGAGTAACCATGCAAAGAGCTGCTTCTTTTAACTCAAATGAGAATATTACAGCAGCCTGCCAACTGTCAATGGTTATAAAAGGGTTTTAACAACGAGACCCTGTTGTGAAAACAATTCAAAGTGTTCTGGTTACTGGAAACAATAATTAGCGTGACAATCTAAATGTAAGGGTTTCTATGCAAAATTATAAAAAGAAAATTTAACATTATTTTTGTTTTCTGTTTATCGTCTTCACAGTCATTCACAAAACGTCACCACAAAGTAACAATCAACATGCTCATTGGTCCTCGTTCAAGCAAGATATAGGCTTTTAATAAAAATATCCAGAGTTAAAATACCAATTTTATCTTTTAGTTCCTGCAGATTTCTCAGTTAATAAGTTGAGAAAAGTTTGGGGTTACATCAACATAACACCACGTGCCTGATACGTTCATCTATCGTCGTTTTCTTTTAGCTGCATAACATACATGTATTTTGAAAATTCACTTCGAGGAGTTCGATGGCTATGGCTTCTGCCTAGCTTTGGTACAGACCATATGTATGACTTTTTCTTATTGAACTCGCACTTTGTCGTAGACTGATCAAAGCTGTTATTACTTGCAGAATCAAATGCTGGCGAGAAGATCGCAATTCGTGTTTTCAACCACGACTATCGAGCAACTGTGAATGATGTCCTCAGAAAACTGGAGACTGCACAACTCCAACGCAGGGGTTTCACCAGAACAGTCATCAACGAAACTGTCACAACAGCAGATGAAAGACCAGTTACTTCCACGGTACTTCACTTTTACAAAAAAATTCCTTGCAGGCAGTTGATGTATGTTGAGGAAGAAGTGCGAAGACTTTGGCCCGAGGCCTGGGGAGAGGAGGTTTCTAGACGCGTTGTCTCCGCCGCTTCGCGCGCGATGCTTTTTAGCGGGAAAATGTGCACGGCTGGCATAGAGGTTCATTTCCCGCCACGCGGAGGTTGTGCTGCGAAGAAGGAGAAACGAAGCAGTAAACGAAAGTGTGAAGATTGGTGTTTATTTTGCTTTAGTGCTAATGCCGAAAATTAACACAATAACAATTTATACTTATTTTTGCATTTTAAATTTTAAAGTTTTTGTTGCAGTTTATGCGAAGGTACACTTAAAATAAAAATCTTTAGAGTGAAGTATCCATACTGATGAAAACATTTCGTTGGCGGCGAAATGTTAGGTTTAATATGAGAACATTCGAACAATTATCAGCTAACTAATAAAAAATGTAAAATATAGGAATAAAAATAAATAAATATATAAAAATTGGAACTGACTAGAATCTTGAGAAATTAGAGAAGAAAACTTCCCAATATTAATTGAAACCATGAAAACAAGAATCTCTAGTATTTAGGGACTGAGAAAAATCTTGAAAACAAAGAAATATTGACTATCAGTATCTACCTAAGAAACTAAGAACGAAAGTCTGGAAACTGGGGAACCTACCATGTAGCAAATAATTTTGGAAAAGGGGGTCTTAGTCACTTTTGGGTAACACAAAGGAAGTTGTTGGATTGGCAGCTATGAGAGGTATCATTGTTTCACTTTCAGGCTACAGAACTGAGTTATGACTTGAAAAAAAAAAAAAAAAACTGTCTTGCAGTTCCTTACAGTCTTGATGCAGCAAAAAAACAGGGACATTTCATGGTTGCAAGGAAGTTGGTATCATTAGTTATAGACGGATAGGATTCCTCCTCCTAAGAGAATCTCTCTAAACAATTTTCAGCAACAGAGGTACCAGGTCCCCCTGGGGTTCATGTTACTTATAGCTCACAAGTTTGCATAACTGCTTCAGTGGACAAAGAGGGATGATCTAAAGAAAACCTGCACTGAATATGGGAGGTTGAAACTGTTAGTTTCATTGATTAATTAAGCCAAGTCATGTACCTCTCTCTTGAAGTCCAACCACTGCCAGCTACAACACTTTTCTGTCCTGCTTTTGTCAGCTGTGGTGGCTTTTGACTTTGTTGCCAGCATATACAGTGTAAAATACAAAGTACAGCAACACAAGGACAGCAAGGATGACAAGTAGATATAACACAACAATCTATTAAAGGGGAGACAATGAAATAAACTGAAGCTACAAAATTCCTGTGCAAGCTAAAGAAAAATGCAAGGTTGGCTTGTATATATTTGGGCACATGTCAGTGGGGAGAGGATCTATAATAGCAGAGGGTCTTTTATTGGAATACTGTACATGTAGAGTGAACTCTGACCTTTTGACCCAAACTCAGTAGCTAATCATGGGACACATCCCATGGAACCCATGACATGAGGATAAGAGGGAACCTTATATGTAAAAGAATTATGTCTATGGCTAATTGTCAACAACATTTGTATTATATAATAAAGTTCACCCCTGATGAAGGCACTAGACAGGAGTGTTGAAATGTTGAGTCTGTGAATTGTAACATCTTTGGTTACATTCATTAGATCTGTAAACCAGAGTACCATCAAATCATGTCTAACATTTGGATTGTTACCAAAAAAGGAACAATAAAAACATCAAAAGTGTAAAATTAATAAAAACGATATTTATGTTAAAATGAAAGTGATCCTCGCAGTAATGTGCACTACTTAGGCCTGAGGCCTTTTTTTTTTTTTTTCAGGCCTTATTTTCACTACTGCCTAAGTAGTGCACATTACTGCGAGGATCACTTTCATTAACGTCTTTATCCGCAGTTCAAATATATGACTTTCATATATTCTTAACCAAAAACGATATTGGTAGCAATGATAATAATAACAATAACATCTTCACCATGACATTCATTGTGCCATTCCATTGATGGTGCTAGCAATAGGTTAAATGAAAAATATCATAATTTTCAAGAGTTCAAGCTACAAGAAAATGTTGATGAGCCTGATTTTCAGGCTAATTAATTGGATTGAATCTTTCAATAATCTCAACCACTGAATTAATTATAATAGGTTTTCCAAAAAAGTGTTATTGACATAGAAAAATCATTCAACATAACGCAGGTCTATTCAAATTTATTTCAATAATTTATTGATATCATCATTGACTCTCAGCATTATCATTATTATAACCAAAATTGAATCAGGGCAAAAAATTGAGAGTCTAGGGCTTTAGGGCAATATCCTTGTCTCCCACAAGTACATAGGTGTTCATGGCCACCAGAAAATACAGAGTTAGGATCACCATATGGAAATCTAATGAGGAAACTGCTTCTTCATGCCAAGGTAAGAAGCGTCCTGACGACCAACTTCAGCACGCTGTATATAAAATTTTTAAATATTTTGAAGCCTTTTCAATTCATATACAAAATCCAAGGGAAAGAATATATTCACCTGTATTGTTCCCCTGTGATTCCTAGTCTGAGCTTTGTCACGAATAGATAGTGTCTTCTTCTTACTCCGGCCTTTAAACTCTTGCTTTCCTGGTTTAAAATAACAAAAAAGTTAAAAATTTGCAAAAAATTGAGACAAATGACCATATTAAAAATATCAACTAAAACAGTTTCTTTCAATTATACTCATTACTAAAATAAACTACAAATTATTGTCAACAAGACCATTCTCTCATTCACTTTTAGGAAAAGAAAACAAGCAAACAAACACATTTGCAAAGAAGCCAATTTGAGCATTTACAAACAGTGCACCTACAAAGCTAATTGAGACTTTAAACACTGTCTTTACAACTTGATGAATTTCCTAATCAGGTTTGTCAGTTCTACCATAATCAAGTTCATAAGCTAAATGTCTACACCAAGAGGCATTGTATGATCCAATCTTGGAGGCCTTTTAATTCAAAGACTAAGATAACTAGGAGATTTAAATTATTCTAAAAGCAAAGTAGCGGGCATAAGAAAACCTGTACTATAAGGTAGAAAATGCAAATAGCTATCACATCACAGGATAATATTTTCTGTTGAGGAACAGACGATATACCAACATGTTAGTAGCTCTATAATAGTTTTTCAGAGAGGAAAGGACTCATTTGAGCCCACTAAGAGTACAAGGAAGCTTCACTCAGAATACATTTATTTTGAGTTCTTTTGCTCTAAAACTTTATGGCCCATAGGCATTCTTAAACTTGCCATAAATATTGAATTGGAATTATCCTTTAATTTTTCATATCAAAGGGATGCGACAAAGGAATATTGACAAATAAATACTTGGAAATACAACACTAATCAAAAATTCCTAGAAATTCAAAGGTTGAACCAGTGAACACTATCCATTCAATAACTTCCTATCAGATGAATAGTGCAGTACATTTTGTTAATACTTATCCACTGGATAGCCATTTATCAGTTTGATAGTAATATCTGCTCTTTAAACAACTGGGTAAACAGAATATGAATCCTTAAACAAAGAATTATCAGTATCCATTACCTCCTAAGATCTTATTAGTATTCCTCCTTTCTAAGTGCCATGCATTTCGTTGACACTAAGTTTAGTAAATTTGGTGTTATAGCAAGGTATATTACCCTTGATACTCTTTTTAACTGAACATTTCTCAATTCCCATGAACTGCCTACTAAATAATGAATCACAGTTATGAAGAAATTTTATTCAATGTGTGTTATGATATAAACACGTAAATCAACCAAAAAAATAATAAATCTGTATATGTTGGATGGGAGCTTTTAACGGTCCCCAGTCCTGTGTGCTAAGGTCCTGTCTGGGAATCAATTTTCCAAAAAACATGGTCCTAACCCCAGCTTATGCAGAAACGCCAAATGCGGCCAACATTTGTGTCCAGTTTTCATTTAGTAAAAACTGATCTTGAAATGAGCGAGAACTAAGAAACTCAGAGGAAACAAATATGGTTCAGTGGACTACAGCATGTAATATTCTCATTAGATGAAAATTCTCTGGAGTGACCACCGCGCCACCGTGTCTGCTATCGACGAGGAAGAAGTATATATAGAGAGTTTACGCACCACTAAACAGTCGTTGAAAAAAATCATGCAAAAGAGGAAAAAAGCCTCACCAATTGTCTTTCTGAATTTTTCTACATCAGATCTTCCCTCGGTGTCTTTGCGCCCCATTAGATGGACCTGCACGCTCGAATAAAATCGGCGTTGATTTCCACTGTACCTTCTACGGCTAGACTAAATGCACCTTTATTTATGTTACATGACGTGTCAGTGTCATTCCCAGACTTCAAAGCGGGAGAATTAATTCTTCGGGAATCCAATATTAGTGGAGAGCCATGCTCTCCCTGCGGTCTCGAGCTGTCGCTGAGTTGGAATTGACAGGTGCGTAACAACAAACAAGAAGAGAGTCAAAGAGCTTTACGCATTGACAATGGATGAAATTACAGTATTTAGCAGCTAGAAGAAACATCTCTCTGGTTTCCCATTGTGTATTCTGCCTCTTTTGATAGCATTCGTCGCTGCACTGTGTCTGCTGATGATAGGCGTTCTGACTGTGTGGTTCTACCATTTCGTTTTTTAACATTTTCTTCAAATTTTCTGTCTTAACATTCTCAACGTGGCTGGATAAGATCGAAATACCACCATCTAAACATTTTTTCTGGAGTGAAAAGAAGGTGCACACTCGCTGACGTCACAGGCGAGTATCTCAGTCCGAGACTCCAGTAAAATTAAGCGGTAAATGTGTGTCTTTGAGGGGAAGAGTTAAAAGCAGGCTGGAGGAAGGCGGGGATATTTCTTAATCTGCCTGTTTATTACATCTTTCAAACAATTAGCTAGAAATGGAAAATGTCCATGTGATAAGCCCTCGAAGCGCTAAAGGACAGACAATTATAATGAACTGTTGTCTGTAAAACTGCCCCCAACCGGGACAAATAAGCAATGAAAGAACAGAGCGGTGGTGCATGTGAAAAGAATTCCAGTTTGAATTTGTCGGGCTTCAAGACTGAAGTATTGCACATGTAAATGATAAAGGATCTATTGCCCTGAACCACGCAAGCTACTTTACTATTGAATACGACAACAAGCTTTTAGAGCAGCGTGCTAATCAGACTAAGTATTCTCACTCATTCTTCTCCTCCCTTTTTTGCGTAAACTTCAAAAGTAGCCCTTCCATAATCGATCGTTACTCAAGACTGTGGCATATCCCTGTGGGGGCATAAGGAATTACCACTCTGATTCGGCTTTTCTTGTGTTTTAATGCGTTGCAATATGTATACCTGTAACAAAACGCTTAGCTTTAGTGAGCTGTATCCTTTATTAGTGACAAAATAAATTAAATGAGTGCCTTTGGTTTTCCTGAAAAGAGGTGAGACATCAGCGTCTGAAAATTTGAACGTGATAGAAGAAACCGTACCAATAATTGCATTTTCTTTTCGAGTTATCAGCGGTAGCCTCCAATGATTAGATTTTTCGCATTGCCTTCGTCATCTTTGAAGAATCGCAAAAGGAACCGAAGGAAAAGAGCAGATCTTCAGACTTGAGGCGCAGTGAGTGAATCGCACGACACTCCAAAGAGATGTTTCGGATGTGAAAAATAATGAACAATTACAGTTTCGGCAAAGTTTCGTTTACATTGAAAATCTATGAACGCGCAGTTACACGCACCTGCGATTGTTAAGCATCAAAGTAAAACTATTTAGAGTCTATTTAACTTTCTTAGTTTGTTTAATGTCTGCTGATACGTTTAGTTTATACACGCTTGTGAGTTTGTTGCCATTCGGGTATGGAGGTCTAAAGATTTTTAGTACATACAATGGTCCCAAGAAAAATAGGGATGCTGCCTATACGGTGCACATCCGTTTACAGCCCGAGTGCCATGAATCATCCTTTCACCATACGATGAAAGTGAGGGAGGCAGCTCACAAAAATTGCAGTGGAAGACTTGGTTGGGTGCCGAAAAATGATCATTTTCGAAGGGTAGATATCCCCTTTGCATTACAATCTGTGGAGTCGGAGCTGGCGGGCGTCTTGTAAAATCCCCTCGACTAAAATTGGGCAAGAATTTGGGATGAATCCCCCAGTAACATCCACCCTTGTTGTAAGCAACTTCACCCCGCTGAAAACATTCCTGAAGCGACAGATTATGGCGGACTGTGTTCTTCCATCGCACTCTGTTTTCGGTGAATTCGGGATAGTTGTGTTGAATGAAGCTGTAGATCTCGGACAAGGTTCTCTGTGTTCTTGGTGAGCTGAGAATGGCGTTGGCAATAACCTCAACGTAGGACAAACGACAAGAGTTTCCCTTTCCACGCCTTTCCTTCTTCGTTTGAAGGTGAGAAACCTTTTTTTCCTCGCCTGATACACCAGTTGACTTTGGAGCAATTTCTCTCTGATTCCGTCTCTGTGCACACTTCATGATTCCTTAACGTTGCACTCTCAACTGGAAAAGTTCAATCTTCCAATAACACAGAATACCCCTGCACTTTGGACAAAAAACAAAGCCGTACCGCAGTGTCATTTACCCTGTCAGCCATTTATCATCCCGTTAATAACATTTTCGCTTTTAACAAAAAGTCGGCCCAGTTGAACAATGGAAAATATTAAAAATTAAAGATGCCTTTCTGTAATTGCCTTTTAGCTATAACAACAAAGCTCATTAATTTTGCATACCTCTGTTTAAGAACTTTCTTTTTTTTGTAACGTTTTATAGCAAACTACGTATGTTGGGACTAAATACAGTTTCTTCCGTTTTTTTTAAACAATGACAGCAACTGACATGCTGGGAGATTTAAGCCGCTCAGAACGCTGACTATTTAGCCGGTACATAACCTTCGTCGTCAATCCCCGTAAACCTTTTAACCACCAGGTGCCCATAACGCTATTATTATGGAAAATATTGAAGCTTTTTAAGAACGGCGAAAACAACCTGTAACGTGTCAACGTGCTGAAATCCTAATAGGAATATAGGGTTACGGTTTGTCAGGGGTGACTTTCCACTGTCCTGTGTTATTTCATTAGCTGTAGGCTAAAATTGACACATGGTATGAAAAACTTGTGTCCGTAAAAAAAGCTGAACCAAATTTAATACCTTGAGCATGAAGTTTTCTTTAAAAGGCTAGTCGTTCATACACTATCCATGTGTTTTGTTTGTTTGTTTGTTTTATTTCTTCGAACCCAGAAAAATGACCGCATGTCAACGTGCGTGGCACTGCCCAGCACCAAACTAATTTAAGCTTCAAGAAGGCCGTCCCGTAGACGAACTGAGAATTTTATCCTTATAATCTTTACATCGAGATCCCATGACATATATATAGTTCGGACATAATCCAAAAGGACTATATACAGGTACGTAAACGTCCCCGAGTCGTGCTGATTAAGACGTTTGACGTACACTCGAACTCTGAATCCTTAGCATACCTTTCATTACATCTATGAAAAAATAGAAGGTCGTGATTGCAAGTCATTCATACCAGTTCCTCAAAGAGGTATCCCTTAAATCTGACACTTCCAACTGTTATCCGAAAATAACAGTGATCTTAAATAATAACAATAATAATAATAATAATAATAATAATAATAATAATAACAACAATAAACTTTCCCAAAAAACTGGCTTTCTCAACCGTCCTGTTTCATTCATTCTTCTCTTTTCATGTTACCTTTTTCAGTTTCGCCAAACCAGTATCACCCCATGAACATGTGCACACCATACATGCGCATAAAATGACTCATCCCCAATGAGTGCAGGGAACGGGTTCCAGCCTCTTGCAAGCGAGTTGGCGTCGTTGGCGGTTATTTTTCACAGAAAGGATAAGGGATCAAATCCTAGTTGATTTCGTTCTCCAATTATCCAATTCCGAAAATAAACGCTTTCTAACATTTCATTTCTGTTGACAAATACCTGGACAACTTTCAGCCAGAACACTTAAATTCACTCCCTCATGCTTGTTGGTCTGATCATCTTCGTGTTCCTTCCAAGAATTCGATGTCTAAAGAAAATGCACCAATTAGGGAAAGAAGCTGTGGAATAGCCTAAGCTAGCTGTTAATATATATAAAAAATGTATCAAATGTATAATCTTTTTAAGATAGCATAACTATATCGTTTTTTATTGAATACATTTTCTTTTTTCTTCTAAAGGCACCGTTCCTATCACAACTCCATCCTTCCGGTTGTTTTAAATTGTTTCAAAATAATTTAATCTCGGATAATTGTAATTGATTATGCTTCCACGTTCTGTAAAAATTTGATTTTGATGAGTAAACGTTAAGCCAGCCTCTAAATTTTCTTAGATGTCGTTGTGGGGTCTTCATTTCAGGTAAAGCTTCCTTTGGACTGCTCCCACATTACACCATGGATGATTTTGTTCGTATTTACTTGAAGGTGGAAGTGACATGAAGACTGATCAGTGATTGATCGATACGCAGAATTTCCTGTAAAATGTCAAATTGTCCTTTATTGTGCTGGAACCAGTAAATAATAAGACCGACTCTAAACACCTACAATCATACAATATCGATCCACTGTAAAAGTACATTGCCAAGGATACCATATTTCGGAGGTTTTTTCTCGCATATTATGTGATTTTGTTGACGTCATGATGTCACACACTCGACCTAACATGACACATTACATAACGCCACAATAACAATATCAAATTCACGCGTGACATCCTATGACATAGCCAACTATAACATGGCTCGTCTGTTTGCTACAATGCTAGAGTGGAAAGCTATCGATAGATCACTGGAGGCTAAAACTCTTCCAGAAATTTGATTGCTATGTTCACCTACTTGCATGCTTTACTGAGACAATACAAAATTCCATTAATTTAAATTAGAGTTGAATAATAACGATGCTTCACTGCGCTTTTCGCTATTTTCTTGAAAACAATCGGTGTTTATAATATATCGTGGGTTTTAAATTTATTTATTTTGAATATACAAAAATCTTTCTCGTTAGTTATTCATATTCCGAGTACGATTTTCATCTCTGGAGCGATGACTCCTTCAAAGGAGGAGAGGAGAGGCACGTAGTGGGTGTTCACACCTGGTGTCCCATAGAGAGCAAGCCACGAGGTTATGTCCTTGGAAACAGCCTAACTGCAAGTGGGTCTGAAAAACACCAGTCTGATGTAGATTACCATGTTATAAAAAATGAATATGATATTACCAATGTTTCGAGGTTGGTTGGGAACAATGCCTCTACCCAAAAGGGAAAAGTAAACGGTCTTTTAGCTAACAATGCCAGAATTTTTGAAAAAGAGATATTTTTTTAGGATGGTTCCCACATGTACTAAACATTATGCTGAGAAGAATGTGCCAGGCCGAGTTTGGGGCCAAGGGTGACATGAGCAACCCCCATGTTTTACAATTACTCTATAAAATATCTTGGCTCCATCATGAGTGTCCAAGCCAATACAAAGTTATGTATGTCTCTCTTGGTATTCTAAGTAAAGAGCCACCCCTTCCCCAGACATTCATTGACACAAGGTGGACATATTGTCATGAAACTCTCCAGTGGTATCTTAAGTATGGAAAAGCTTGTTTACAGCTCGCTGAGAGTCTCCTTGAAAGATTGCCAAAATCAGATAGCCCCCAGACTATTTGGCAAGATGTCATTAAGCTGAGCTCCAGTCCTATGATTCAAGTTGAAATCAAGTTTTTGTTTGAATTCCTCGATAAGTTTATCATCTCATCTCTGAATACATCCCAGGCTAGTGATGCAGAACTTGGATTCTCCAGTGGTTACCTAGCAAGGTTATGGCCAGCAACAGTTCTAAAGCACCATGAAACTTTAAGCAAAACGCTGATGTCTCCTACAGAACATTTTCCTTTAACATCACAACAGGTGAAGATGTCACTGAAGGACCCAGCAGCTATTAACCTTTTTCACAAACAAGTGCAGAGGCCAATGTTACAAGAAGCAATTAAAGTAATCAAAGATCATGGAGCAGAGTGGTTAACTTTTCCTAAGTTGTTTGGAATGGGAGCTGATCAGAGATACCAAAGTCCTTTCTGGCATTTTGGTTTTAAAGCTTCTTGAAATTCCAGTCAGATCTGAAAATCAACAAGAAAAGTCAGTGAACAATCCCTTTCATATACATGGAGTTGGATTAATTGCTCAATGAGATCAAAGAAATTGCTTCATCACCACAGAGCTCACTCATAAGTAAAGAAGCCACTCCAAACCTGTTTGAGTTCTATGCCAAGCACATTTTCAGTCTTCCACTTAACAATGTTCTTGCTGAAAGACAGTTCAACCTTTCTCAATTGCACCTTAATGATAACAAGTCAGAGTTATCAAAACAGGCCACAATCACATTTGTTAAAGACATTCTGCATAGTGGAAAAACCAACACCAGGACCACAAAAGCGGCAAGTGAAGTTCATGAAGAAAGAATGAAAGAATGAAAGAATATACCCAAATGCTCACCACAGACATTTTGCAAGAGGCAAGAAAGAACTTAAACAAGATTAGAGAAAACTGTAAACATGGGCCACTTACAGCAAATGATGTTTACCCTAAAGCTTGGGTAGAAAAGAAAGTAAACAATAACTTACCAGAAATGATTAAGTCACTAAAAGCAGATAGTCGCAAACTTAAACTTCACTGGAAGGCTTCCGCCAAGGGAACATCTGCACTGGAGGGACAGAGGTCATTCAACCCAACAGTAATTGAGGAAGTTACCAGTACACCTGATGGACAAGTTCCAAGATTCATGCAGCTAGGGGCACTAAAGGTGTGGAACTATGGGGAGGAGCTACCAATTTATGATCTACCAAGAGAATGCAAGTTGTGTCTACAAAATCTTACAAATGTCTTTCAGCCTCTAACTACTCATCTTTCCATGTCCCACATGTCTGTACATGTTACACCTTTGCCTGCACATGAAGAATAGAGTAGTCATGAGGGGTGGCTCAGTAATTTTTAAATGTTTCAGATTTTTACATATAAGAATTGATTTCACCGACCCACACTGCATGAAATAAATATATCTCAGCGTGTATGTGTTTTTACACACAGAGACACATCTAATAATTGATTAATGTTTCAACACAACATGTTAGAACTAACCTGGTAAAAGCACATTGTATATGCCATGTTAGTAAAGTGAAAAAAGCTTAATATCTTAGTATATGTACATGAAGCATGTTAGCTTTTTGGTTTGCAATATTGCAACTGGTTTTACAGGGTAAAGTAAAGTGCAAGGTGCCAAAGTTGAGACATGCATGTACAATCATGTTGTATTGGATCTTGAATTAAATGAATTGAATATTAAATTCAAAATGAACAGTAGGTATACAAAGCTGTAATGTATCTGATTTTAAATTGTTATGTACGACTGTAGCTTTATAGAATATTGAACTAACACTGAATTGCTGTCACTTAATTTCAGAAGTTTAAGAACATAATAAATGTAATATTTAACTAAATGTAGATTATATCATTATACTGTTGCACATGTATAACTTAACATATCACTAGCAGTATGTAACTTTTGATGTGATAAGAACATGTCTTATGAATAAGTGTTCTTGTACAATAAGCATAAATTTTGCACAGGAAGGGCAAAGCAAAGTGATGTAGCCAATGCTATATTACATATATTTAGTGTACAATGATTAACAGTAATAAATTAGAGTGGAACACTGGATCTGTTAAAAATGTGCCAAGTTTATTATCCTGTCTTTCCTTATTCTGTGTAAAAGATAAGTAATACCATTCTGATCTGTAATGAATCCTCTCTCCCCTTTAAACGTTTTTCTTCTACTATTAAATAAATCTACATCAATGGAATTTTTCTCACATATACAGGCAACTTGTAATGTCCACTTCAACAACCTACCTTTACCTTTACCTATACCTATACTAATTATTGAATATGCAGTGTGGTCAAAAAAGAATCAGTGTATTGGTCAATCCTCTACATTCAAAGCGCCCAAAAGAAATGAGCATTAATTTGACAATCGATACCAGTCAAACATCATCTCCGTAATCCGTTGTAAGTACCAACGAGTACCTGAGAAATGATTGATAAATTGTTCTTGGTTCCTGTTGACGATTAAACCGGAGTTCACTCTCGATCTCGAGTGGGCGATATTGAAAGTAGGCTAATTGACCCTCTATCACCAACACACCCCAAGATAGGGGTGACAAGATAACTTAATTTATATTCTTACCTCGTGAATTGTGAGCTTGCTGTACTTTCGAACTGCTCTGAGTACATTACATCAGTCAATATATTTCACCACGCGCAACGAACGACAAAACAGTACGAAAAATTAGAATTTCTACCACTTAGTCGACGAAAAGGAAAAAATAAAACGGTAGAATCTTCAACTTCCTCGCAGTCTTCCCGGTTTATGTGTCAAACTACCAGAGACTTCGTGTTTTGATAAGATATTCAACAGTAAAGTCTTTAGAGTGTTAAGGAGAGAAGTAAACACTAGAGAGGGTCTACTCTGCGCATATCTGAAATTTTCCTTAACTCACGTGCATACGCTGTTCCCTGAGGCCTAAAAGTAAACAAATGCTTAGTCATCCTCTTCATCGGAGAAGGACTGAGTACCACAAAGAGTACTATGAAGCTTTATAGGGGAGGGGTAGGAGAGGTTGTCAAATTATATATAGTTTTAACAGATATGTGTTGAAAAAAAATCAATTAAATTTCACATTTATTTTAAGCATTCTTAAAATTTTCAGTCTTTTTGCAAAAAATTGATATCTCTTTTGGATTGGATGTAGAATCAAAGGTATTGCTCAAATCTGCCAGCTCACCGTACCCTACTGGAAATTAAACTTGAGCATGACATAACCTGTTGTAACACTTCTCCAGTACATTACAGCCGATTAAGGAAATGAGAATGGCGCAGTATTTTATTCTTGGGCTCTGTCTCCTTTTACAATTAGATTCAACGCGCTCTTTGCGAGCGAGTACGGTTCGTGAACTGAGCGGATTGTATTCGAATACGAAGCACTACTCATCATCGCTGAATGCTGGCACGGACGCCACCGTACTTCCCAAAATCTCTCCAGCATGTCAGAAAGCCTTATCTGGTATCCGCAAGCAAGGGTTGACTGGAAAATGTAAGTGATAAAATGTTTTGCCATTTTCTACACACGTAAGATATTGGGAAGATCGCATTCATCAAGAAAGCTGAAAGGTACTCTGCCAGAGTAAATTTAAGATCGTTGCAAACGTATTTGAAAGAGAGCTTAGTAAGTAACAATGACTTATTTCGTAACTCTAAAATGGGAAACTCTTTGGTATCGTTTTACTGAGTGGATTGAGCTTTGTAGCGTTTTTTCCGACACAGTTTGGAGTCTTTGAAGACTTTTCGAAGCTTCCGGCGGAAAAAGCGAGTCTTCGGAATCCCGCGATATTTAACTAAAACAAAAACACAGCATAGTGACCTTGGAGCTGGCATACGATCATGGTTTGTCCAGTTTAATCCCCGCTTATGATATGAAATCCTACCCACCAATTGCCATATATTTCTTGTAATTCCAACTCAGAGAATACGGTGTCAAATCGAACACTATCCTCCGAGTTGATAGTTTACATGTACTTTCTTCTCGTTGTCTTCCTGTATGACAATTTATTGCAAATATATGGAGAAATTCCCTTTTGGCCACTCCTGGTAGTGGCAGGGCTGTTAAGCCTACTTGTATGGTCCAGAATCAGTACCCTATCATATTTTGTTCACAAGTTAGTACTTCCAAGAAACTAGGAAACTAGGCAACACAAACATCAATTCTAAAAGCCAGTTATAAACCTATTCAGGTGGCTGGTAGGTGGAAAGGTGACTTTTTTACACTAGTATTTTTCTGCTGGCTTTTTCTCTTTTCGAGAGAAATAATCAGAGGACAAATATTGACAGAAGTGGGGGTTGTTATGTTAAAAATGCAAATACATTAAAAATGCCAATACGTGAAAAATGCAAGTGTGAAAAAAATTGGGATGTAAAATAGCCAGTACTATCAAGCAAAGATTAATGGGTGAATTATAATACCTGGTACAGTATGCCTGATATTTATTCTTCATTGTCAGATATTGATGCAACGGGGAGACCAAACAGTGGTCTTACCCTGGGTAACCTGGTATGGCTTGGGTCTTATGCAAGATGCAAAACTATTCCTGGAGCACACTACTGCCTAGCCCCAAGTGTCACTTTCACAATAAATTCTGGAGGAAATATTACAAAAATCCCGGTAAACAAACAACTTGTTTGTGCTATAGATAATGAATTAATGAAAAATATCATTTCTCTTACCAGCTAACTCTTGATTTTTATGGCTGGGTTACATGTAGTATGGAGAAAATCTGTTCTGATTGTAGTGTGGGTCCATTAACCCACAACTCTCTCTCCCCCAGGATCCTATTAGTAATTTTCTTACTATCTACCGTACAATTCTGATGATGTTAGTTTAGAGAATTTGGTATTAGATCAACTGATATTCCCCTTAGTGCTAACTTTCTCCTTTTTCATCTCTTGTATGCTTGACATTGTATTGACATTGTAAGGAGATATTCTAGCTTGGTTGCTCATGGGAGCTAAAGGGTTAGACTCCCAAGATCTGATTACCAACTATCCCCTCTAGCAGCTACACATTTTTAATGTAAATTAGTCACAAGAATTTGGTGTTTGCTCAAAGATAAAGCTTTTATGTCAGTTTGAGTTTTCTCATTTTCTCAGTACTTATCATTACCCCATCTGAAAAACAGTTATAGGATATTCTTGCCTTCCAATAATGCCTGCCATCTTCAATGCCCTCCATCTTTTCTACCTAAGGAAGACTTAAGAGTATCAATGTAATATGCAACAAAAGAATTTTAAGGATGCCAATGTGAAAAAAAAGTGCAGAATCTCTAGGAGAAAATTAAGTCGTAGAATTCCACCTATACATGAAATTCAATCTCAATTCTTTGTTCAGTGAAGTCTGTTGTATCTATGTGAAGAACTTTATATTGTGTTGAGTGGCTGCAGTATATGATGATGTTCTGTTTCTGGTTTAATAGTATGTCTCCTGGGGCCTTTGTGTTCCGTCTGCCTGTACTGAGGAGGATATTGCCTTGGGTATTGGCATCATTACCAAAGGTTAGTTCTATATCCTTACTTTGGGTAAACATACACTTGTGGAATATGTTGGAAAACCTTTTAAATCATGAACTAAAAGCTATTATAAACAGACAACTTTACTTTTGACTGTTGCTCTCATGGCTAAAAACTGCAGAAAAACCCCTCTCTTCCAGTTCCAGAGAGTAAAATCATCCTTCAAAGACAGCTTTTTTTAATCTTTATAAACTTAACTATAGAAATATAAGTTAATGTGGATTAAACACGATGAGATACAGAAAAAAAATTCTCACTATCCTTTTTTAGATAGAGATAACAAACTTAATCTAATGAATGTGGATTTTAACTGTGACAACTACTGTATCCTCATCTACTGCAACCATTTTGAATCAGTAATTGGAACCCAGGGACAGCCAATCAAGAAAAAATTGGAACCAGGAACAAACTCAACTCACATGTAACACTAGGTCAGAGTTTTGAACCTGGCTAACCCCTCTGGAAACAAAAGTTTACTACACCAGATTATTGCATCACACAAAGGAGAAAACATTCCTAAAATTTTTTATTTGGGTCCTCAGCTTGTACTGGGTGTCCTGCATATACAGAGGCAATTTTCATGGATACAAATTGCCTTGTTTTCATTTTTATCAATGAAAATAGTATCACTTCTCATGTACTGTTATTTTTTGTTTTCTAGTTGTGTCACAATATCTGCCCCATCTGCCCAATTTCCCTACAGGGAACATCACCTTGGATGGTGTATTCTGTGCTCACAAATCCAAGTGGACTACTGGAGCCATAATAACTCTGTAAGTTCTGCGCATTTAAACACTTGTTTTTAAAGATAAATTTTGCTATTATAAGACCTATCTTGTTCATGTCAAGACAATAGTTCAAAAAGATGTCAAAGTAATGGCCAGCAGTAAGTTTGATTTCAAAATTTATCATCCAAATGGGAGAGAATCATAGTTCACTGGCTTTTTCTAGGAATTTTTCAATGAAGTTTTTGCTGGTAGTATTGATTTCTAAATGTATTTGTTGTTGATATCGTAAAAATTGTTTTTAGTCAGATCTTGGATCTTTATGAAGCTAATTCAGTAATCCTGCTGCTTTCTTGTATTAGTGTACTCTGCGTTATCATAGCAGCCTTGTGTTTGGTGGGGACTTTGGTTGACATGTTTGTGGTGCAGCAGGTGTGGAAATTTTGGGTCACATCTACAGAATACAACAGAGATAGAGTTGGTGGCTCAAATGAAGATGAATTCTTGCCCAATGGGTTATCCCACAACCTGAAAGCAGAAGAAGCACCATTACTCAGTTCTTATGGCTCATCTAGCCCTGGGTCAAGTACTCCCAATATTCAGATTAGACAACCTTTAAAAATTGAAGATAGAGGTAAATTCACAAACTACATGTAGTGGCAAAGTCTGACCCAAAAACATAATAAATTTTATGGTAGCCATTAAAAATTTTTGCATACAAATACTTCTTACTTACCTGCTGGCTTCAAATTCCAATGAGTGACAAACATGTAAACTTCAAAAACATTCCAACATTAATTTTCAAAGATAGGTTCTACCATTTTGAAAGTAACTTGGCTTTACTTTGCCAGTTGACCAAACCCAATGTTAGATATCAACCCAAACAATGGGGACCTTTTCTCAAAGGCAAAGACTTGTTGTACACACCAGTAGTGGCTCTTTAGTAGCTTCTAATCTTTCAAACAGACTGGTGAGAGATGGGTAAAAAGGTGTTGCCAAGGTGTCTTGTAAAAAAATGCTCGGCAGAGACAGTAACTTTATGCAAACAAAAAGCTTAATAGATCAAATACGGTTTGCATGATAAGGGAAATGTTGTTGAAAAAAGACTTGCATCACTAAAAACATTTTTTTAGTATATGTGTATGAGTTTTAATTGCTTACAAGAATCATGATATGCATGATTGGTGCAGTATGATTTGGTGGCATAAATTTTCCATGACTCCTTTTCACTGCAAATTCAATGTCTTGTGAAAGTATTATTTTTATTAGTAACTCTAATTCTCAGGTGGGTATAAACAACATATAATCGACTTTGTGAGTTTCATTATACGATCCTCTACTATGCTGAGGCCAAACCACTCCCAGCACCTGGTGTAATGAAATTATGGTAGAGATGCAACTACTTATAATCTTATATCTTCTGAGTAGTTTAACCTTTTGATGTGACCAAGTCAGAATTTCTCCTTACAGTATCAGTTTGATATCATGCAGAAAAGTGATGTGAATAAAGAAAAAATGATCATTTAGGGGGTTATAAGTTGTTCCAATGTCAAATTCTTCAAATTGATTTCATAAGAATTGCATGACTGACAGTAAGGAGAAATGAGATGTTGGGTAGTGAAAGGGTAGTGAAAGAGCTGAGTAAGTAAAAACTTATTTTAGGGTATTCATCCAAAGATTACTTTTCTATTGATTGACCATGCTTGTGTTTCTGTCTCTCAAAGGATTTGTGGTCAGTTTCCTGGTTTGTTTCTCAATAATACGGAACACTACAAAGATAATGAACTGTTCTGTGCCAGCTGGGACTATTTCAGCCATCAATGGAATACGAGTACTTAGCATGTGGTGGGTCATAATGGGCCACACCTACCTATGGCTTATAATTTACAGAACACTAAGTGAGTCAAATTTCAACTCTCTCACTATAATGATTTTCAATTGGTAATTACACTGAGAGCTGTAGTGACATTGGTAGTGATAGTGATAATTGCATAATTAATCCCACAAAAATGGATCAGTTTGTAAAACAAGGAAAAAAGCTGTCAGTATTAACCCATATGTAGCTAAGAAATAATTTTGGTTAAAAATATAAACATATGAAACAACTTACGCTCCTTGCAACTGCATATATCTCAGTAAATGTCCTTTGGCTGTCTGTTGTTTTTGCAACAAAATGTAAAATAAATGTAAAATTTGAAAAAGTAACAGACGTTTTGTAAAGCTACATGTAGGTTAGCTATTGGAAATTATAAGAAGCTAGTAAACATAAACAATTTGGCACTGAAATTTCTCATATAAGAGTTGTATTGACTTGAAATTCTCAGTACGTACTATATACAGACTGTAGACCATGTAGCTACTTCCAATGGCTGCCATTTTGGATGAGGTTGTACGTAAAGACAAATGCCACAAAATTCCAGCAAGTTTGGAACAGCTTTCATTGTATATGTTTTTTATTACTTTGCAGATGATTTGGCCCTAGCATTCAACATTTCTCACAGGTTTTCCTTCCAAGCTGTAAATAATGCTTTCTTCTCTGTTGACAGTTTTTTCGTTCTGAGGTAAGACAAAATCTCTATCCATACCATAACGAAATGTAATATGAAATCTCTCCCTTAGTGGTCACATGCAGTCAGGACATGTAAATTCACAAATAAATGTCTTTCATGATTTGATAAGACAAATTTGAGACAAAAATAATTGAGTATTAGTTCATTTACAAGCCTCTGCAGAATATTGCAGCCGCCTGTTATTGTGTACTGATGATAGTTTTCTCAGAGCAGCTCACAAGTTTAAATTATGATTTGAACCACAGTACCATATGTCAATTTTTTCAATGTTTAATGTTATTAAAACTAACTGACAAGGGTTAATCACAGATTTGTAACAAGACTGCAAAAAGGCCACCTTTTTACAAAGGTTGAAATATCATACAATACTAAACAAATGTCACTCAGACACATATTCGTATGAGGTGTCTCTCCAATTTCTAGTAATCAATTTAACGGGTTATTGTTTATTTATGCTGAAATGTTCATCTAGGACCTATAATCTCCCAGATTTCCATTCTAAATTTTTGTGGAAAGAATGTGGCTTACAGCCGTGCCTAAAATCCTTGGGTTAGAACATCCCACTCTTTTTGAAAGAGTAATTTAGTGTTAACAACTGAGTTGAAAACGTAAATTAGCCACCGTAAAGGGTGAAAAAGCTGACGTTTCGAGCGTTAGCCCTTCGTCAGAGCGATCGGAGGAACTGTGAAATTCGCAGGAAGTACAGGAGAATTGCTCTAACGAAGGGCTAACGCTCGAAAGGTCAGCTTTTTTACCCTTTACGGTGGCTAATTTACGTTTTAAACTTAGTTGTTAACACTAAATTACCTGCTATACTCTCCCACCGACGCAGCACCACAGTTTCTTTAGAAACCTACCCCTTTATTTTTGAAAGAGTGTTCGCTATGTCTGCGAAAACTTGGAATTGGTATTACCCCTCCCCTTCACCCCTTTTCAAGAACGGGTATCACTGGAACACATGATGTATAGTATTGGTCCCCGTTTAATCACTCGAACGTGATCTTAAGTAGATGTTTTCGTGTAAATGTTGTATTGCAATGCAAAGGAAAGATCGTATTTAGGCGTGGTTCAGGAAAAATTGTGAGGGCCCACATCTTCTATTTGAAAGGTCTAGAGTGTTAAATTGTTCTGTTTGCAGTGGGGTGCTCGTGGCTTACGTTTCCTTTCGACGCATGGACAAGAATGAGGGGAGATTGCCATTATTTCAATTTTATTTTCACCGATTTTGGAGGTAATGTAAATATTCATTAGAAATGAACCTTCAATTAGAACAAAGAGCGCTACTTCGAATTTTGGTCACCAAAACAAAAGTTTGCGATAAAAAGCATCTTTATGCTAGCCTTTGCTCAAAAGTTCAATTACGAAAGACAATCAAAAGAATTATCCACGCGACTTGCTTGGCCTACCTGGCATGTAACGAACACGAAAGGTTTCAGGCTTTCGTGTGAACTGCGTTCGTTGCGTTTTGATTAAAGCCTCGATGCGTTTGACAGAATAAATGGTTGGATAACAGAAAGGAGTCAGGAAAATAATTCAGGAAAGTATTGAACTGAAAAAAAAAATCGACTGGACAACTGAACGACTTAAATGGTTCATGCTGGAACCCCGCCATAGCCTGATCATTGCCTGCTCATTCAACGAGTGTTTTTTTAACATCGACGGTACATGGTGTTAATTGCCTTATCAATTTCTAAGATTTTCTCAACCTTTCCTTTTCACTGAAACTAGCAATTTGAATCATTGTATCAATGAATGCGCAGCTTTTACCCAGCGTGTGCACGAAGCACTTTAGAAGAGCCCCATACCTAAAAGAAAATGGTGACCCATCAAATAGGGTTATTTTATTTAAATTTAAGATGAAACTACTTCCAATAAATTTCTTCCACCTTGCAGGTTAACCCCGGCTTACATGTTCGTCATTTTGTTTTATGCCAATCTCACTCCATTTCTTGGCGAGGGACCACTTTGGTATGGGAACCAAAAACAAACACCGTGTCATGATTACTGGTGGACAAATCTTTTGTACATCAACAATTTCTATCCTAAAACCTTAGTTAAGGAGGTGGGTAGAAGTGCGTTGCAAATGAAATGTACGAACAAATTATGCAATGAGAAGTTTCGTCATTATGGTCTCTAGCTCAAGCTGGCCTTCTGAATGTATACTGTAAAAATTATCCTGGCGGGGGGAAAATAAAGTAGGCCTCAAGGTTACTTCGTTTTTAGTTACATGAGGTTTTTTGAATGTGGGTGCCCGCATAAAGCCACAAGTAGCATTACTCCACCTTGATGGATGCCTTTCCATTGTATGTGATGCCCATAGCATTTTTGTCAGTTTTTCCAGATAGTTCATCAATGGCCATTTTATTCCTGGCGGGAAGGGATTCAGTGAAAGTAAAATGTCTTGCCAAAGAACACAATACAGTGACCTGGCTAGAGATCGTATCCGGACTGCTTAGTTGCAGCTAGCTTTACTACTCCCATGCAGAATTTAACCACTTGAACTAGTTACCCAGGTTCCACCCTTAAATAATCGACTAGGTGTTCAAACCAGAGTTCTACCATCATTCTAGTGGAACTCATTGGAAGATGAACAAAAAATTGCCAGCTTTTAAACTTCAACTTAAGTAATGCATGGAATTTTAAGACTCTTTGTCAACCTGGTTAAACAAACAAAGCGAGGCTCTTTAATTTATTTTCATATACCTGTTCCATCATGACAGTTTTAATTGTGAAGATGTCTCTAAGCAGTGTTTGACGGTGATTATTTCATTCCTTAGTGTCTGGGTTGGTCGTGGTACCTTGCTAACGACATGCAGTTTTATGTGATAAGTCCAATTTTGATCTACATCATCTACAGGTGAATTTGATTCAATTTTATTTTAGTATATATAGATTTGTCTTTAATATTGGAAGTGTAGATATAAGGTAATATTTGGCATTTTCAGTTAATGTAGCTTGTAATATTTCTAATCATGTCGTCAGATTTCAGTTCCGAGGGCTTGCCATAGGCTTGGGTAGTCTTCTGCAAGCAAGTTTAGTGGTCACTGCTGTGATCATTGGAGTTTACAACACGGATGTACTTGAATCTGGTGAGATTCAACAAGGGTAAGACAACCACTGACAACCACTGTAAATTTGTTTCGTTTAGGTACAAATTTGGTGTGTAAAAACCTAAGGAAAAGGATGGAAGTTTGTTCGGTAATAGTAAAATTTCCCTATCAGAACATTTGACAGTACAAATGTTGCTGAAACATTTGAAATGACCGCGAAGTGTTGAGACGTCTGCATTATCCATTAAAATTCAGTCCCGAAGTCTGTTCGAAAGTACGCGTTCTCTTTTTTAGTTGAGCGTTCATTGTTTAAATACTACGGGGAGTTTCCCCTAATTGAGTTTTCTCTCTCGAAGCTCGGGAAGCTGAAGAAGCAAGAGCTAACTATAGTTGAACCATGGGATTTTTCTCATTTTTGCTCATAGGTAGATAAGAAGTAGTGAACATTCCTGAGGAAGTTGTCTCTGCTAGCAGTTTCCCTGCTGTTTCACTGAAGAAAACTAGAAAATTCCAATTAATCTCGCAGACGACTTTCTTTACTCACCAGCCCCAAATATCCTCGAAGATGTTACTCCGTTTTAAAGCATGCACCTCCATGTTACTTTCCTGATGATGAAAAGTACTTTGTTCTCGTGTGGCAGCAGAATACCCGGATGTCTTGCCCTCACTTACTCGCTCACCGTACAAGATGAGGCAGAAATATAACTGTAGAGGTTACCCACACTTTCACGCACACGCACACGCCTTCGTGTTACGTCCCTGATTATCAAAAGAGCTCATCTCTTGTCGTGACAGCGTGACTGTAAGTTCTGTTCGACTTCTCCAGTCACGTTGCAAATAGTTTAACAAATTTGTTATGGTATTCTTATTAGGTTTAAAAAGGAGCCAGGCAGAGGTAGCTATACTGACCTTGTTTATGTAAAGCCGTATTGCCGGATCGCACCTTACCTCGTGGGCATTGCCCTGGGCTACCTGATTCATATTGAAAAAAAGAATCCGGGAAAAAACCCGTTGGTAAGTAGCCGGGGTCGAGGAGGAAATTACATTGTAGGTGACAACGCAAAAGGTGTAAAGAGCAATCCTAACACACTAGCTATAACAAAAACCTGATAGAAGACTGAACTTTCCCTTTGTATTTATCAGAACCATATATAGCGCATTTCGATTGGCTAACGTTGAATCAGAACCAAAGTAATCACAATAGCCAATCAGAAGAAAGGAGAGCTTCAGAAGGAGCCAATAAGAACTTCACGTAAAAACAAGCAAACTGCTTGAAGCGCGGGAACATGCGAGTAACAAAATTGCCATTGGTTTTCATTTTTGATCTGATTGGTTGAGAAAGTGACGCGAGTTCTTTGGACCAATAACAGCGAAATATGAGAAAACTTAAGCAGTTCCGGTTAGTTTCGACACTAAAATCTCGTAAAATTAAAAAAGGATTTAACTGCTGCTTTCAAATTATCCCATGTTGTTTTTTCATGTCTTTCAGAGCAAGATTCCAAGACAGGTAGAGTGCCTTGTTGGTTGGTTTCTCAGTATTGCACTGGGTGTTTCAGCTGTATACGGTGTGTATACATCTTACAAAGAAGACGGCCGGCCTTTCAACAAGGCTGAGAATATAATTTACGGCACCTTCAGTCGCTTTGTTTGGGGTCTGGCCCTCGCTTGGGTTATCTATGCGTGTAACAAGGGTTATGGAAGTAAGTGTCTCACATGTTTTCCAGTCATCAAAAATGTAGCGCTGTTTAAGTCACTTTAGTGATAATCAAATGAATTTGAGAATATATGAAGGGTCTGGAAATGAGTAAACGAGTCAAGAGAATCAGAAGGAAGTCACGGTACTGAGAAACAGTTGGTAGAGCAAACTCGTGAGTTTTGTCATTGAAAGGGGTCGAAATATATTCATCATTCTTTCTATTAATAATTTGTATCCGTAAATGTTAGTTGGTATCGTTCACGTTACCTACATCAAGTCATGGCCATACCACCTAGAGAAATACGATAAAGATGAAACTTAAAGAGAAATATAAAGTGATTTCTACTATTCAAACAAATAGAGAAATAAAGTTGTTTTTCTCAAAACGTTTTCCGTCGGATAAAAAAACATATTAAGTGGTAGTTGATTGACTGACTAACTGATCAACTGACGAACGGGGGGAAGGACTGACTGATTTGATCATTTAATTTTCATATGAAGGTTTGGTGAACAAGTTTCTGTCAGCATCGTTCTGGATTCCCCTAAGCCGCTTGACTTACAGTGCGTACCTTCTTCATCCAATCGTTCTCATCGTTTACTTTGGGTCTTTCCAACACACCACGGAGTACAGCGATAAAAATTTCGTAAGACCTGTTCAACTGCATGCCTTAATTATATCAGAATGAAACCTTGAAATAATTTTATTCCCAGCTGTCCAAAATGGGGGCTTTTTAAAGCGGGAATATATTGTCCGAGTAATGTTGGGCCGAGCGAGGAAACATTTTGCTGATGGCGCTAGATCCGCACATCTTGACCTCGAGCCAAATGATGTCCCGTCTGGCCGGACCTAACTTGTTCAATAACCACTTTATAATATGAGCGCCGCTCTTTCTTCTCTCAGCTCGCTTCTTACAGCGTGGAAGGGATTTTTTCGATTAACAGCTTTTAAGTAGAGATTTTGTAACGTTTTTCAATGAAAGCACGGGCAGAGCCCTACAGATAATGATAAGACATACTTCTTGAGAGCCACCATTCAAGTCGTTTCTAGCTGAAACGAATACCATTCACTTTATGCATTTCTTTAGGTTAAAAACATACAAGATTTAAAACGAAAACGCAATCAAAATTTCGTCCAAAATAGCTTGAAGCGTCAGCTAATCGTAAACTTTTTATTTTCAGGCATTTTATTATGTTGCTGTGATAGTCATGTCGTATGCAGCAGCTTTCATTCTCGCCATCGGCGTGGAATTTCCCACAATGCAGTTAGAAACAGTGTTGTTCTTCCGACGCATGAAGTCACGGGACTGACACGAGCTACTGGCAACCAACCGTGTTTGAGGAACGTGGATGTATAGATGGTGTATTGGACGTTATCTTTTCATGTGATCGGGGTTCTAGGAACTTAATTTTTTGTATTACTTTTTTTATATATTCTAATTGCAAAACCATATTTAGAAAGCGGACAATACAATACTAATGCAATCTGCGATACAATACTCATTGACCATTGCCAATGATTATGCTACCTTACTTACAAGACTATTAATGATGATACGTTAGTTATATTACTGATTGAGTTGCGTCACTTATGATGTTACTTACTACGTTACGTTACTTAAAATATTTGTCTTTTTGTGGTACCTTACATTACTAATGGACACTACTTACTCTAAGTCTTACATTATTATATTATGTAGCGTAAAAAATACAAAAAAGCACATTTCACCGCCAATGTTACAACCCCTTTTTTTTTTTCAAATGCAATTATTAGCAATCTAGGGTAGAAATTACAATATATCTTGAAAAGAACGTTCTTGGCGACAGTGTAACACCTACATTACACCCCCCTTCGTAAACTTCATCGAGAAAATAGCACACGGTTTGTTACAATATCGTTTTCTTTTTATGAATTATTTTGTCACAATGATAATGAGACAAGACGAATACATTTAACCCAAATGCTTTGGTATGGCACAAATTTCACATGGAATTAAAAAGATAATTTTTACTAAACTTTACACTCTTATTAGCTTTGTGTAGTTAGTGATACACTAGGCAGCAGCTTTCCTGTTGCCATGATAATAATCTTAGGAAGAGGAAACAACTTTGCAGACGCCAATGCCGTGAAGAATTTGATGAAGACATAGCTGTCAGTACAGTTAACCCTCTAGGTCCCACTATTGACCAAGACAGAATTTCTCCCTTCACTATCAGTACAATATTAAGCAGACAAGAAGTGAGAGTAAAGATTAATATCAATTAGGGGATTATTGGTTCATCCAATTTCAAATTCTCCAAACTAACATCATATGAATTATATGGCAGACAGTAAGGAGGATTACAAATGACAGCACCTCTGCACGAGAGACGAAGCTTTTCAGTGTTGCGCTGGAGACTTTATTATCTGGTTCGCTTGATTAGTAAAAGATTAGGAAAGTTAGAATGTCAAGAAAGCCAATATCAGCAGAGAAGAAATATGTGGGATGTAAACTGTTGTTTTTTTAACGAACAGATTTCTGCTTATAATAAGGGGAAAAAAACGATTTTGGTAACTTCAAATTTCAACATTTTCCGGGTGGAGGGGAGGCCGGAATGCATTCAACCCACCGTTCCGAGCTAAACCTCTATCGGGGGGTCCTTTCGCCTATGCTCCTGAACACCCGGCCTACACAACTTACAAAATTAAACTCGGGCACGCCCGTGTTTGAGCGCGCGCATTTTGATTCGAATAGAACATCATAATGGTAACATGACATCACAATAAACGAAACAAAAATCCTTGAAACTCGTTTGAGAGATTTTGCAAGAAACAGCCATGGCTTCTGTTTTTAAATCACTCTGTCGGAAAAAAGCGAAAGCTGATAAATTTCTGATCACAGCATCTGTTTCCCTACTGTCCATTGACTGTCGCAAGAAAAAATGGTAAGGGATGGAAAAAGAGCACTTTTTTCGTCTTTGTTTACGTTTAAGTTTTGAGAGAGCTCATAAAAGATTGGGATGTTTTTATTTTTATAATCTATCGCACTTTAATTCTCGCAAAGAGTTTTGTCATGAAGGCTACCATCAAGGCTAACCTCAACACAAGTTTGCTTCCGGTAATGAAAAAATCCAGAAATAACATGCGCGTAGGACTTTTTCCGATCTTGGCTGTTGAATACAGCGTGAGACTAGAACACAAACGTTCGTTTATCAAATGGAAAATAGTTTACCCCATGAAGTTGCAAGACTCGGTAGAGGGTGAAAATGAAACGCAAGGCTCGTTTATCATACATTTACCACCCAGCCAGGGAAGGGCTTTTTTTAACATTTTGTCAACAATTGACAGTGAAGGGGAGGGACGAGTCAGTGTTGCTCGTAACCAGTCTTTTGGAACGGCACTACAGCAAATATGGCGGTCGCTCGGCGGTTCGCAAGAGCTATTGTATTCCAAAACAATAAAAGATGTAAGTGCGTTCCTATTGTTAAATTGTTGTGCACAAATCCATGTAGAAATTTTGTTGCCCGGTTTGTAATTACCTGATGAGTTTTTCATATGCTGTACTACATGTTACATTGAAGACACCTTGTATTCATGTCAACTTTTCACCATTAATTACTTTGCTAATCTTAGATCGTTGTCACAATTAGGCACCCTCACAAACTTGCGATTTTTTTGGAAGAAAAAGCTAGAAAAAGAAGGCAAAATACAGCACAAAGGTAGTTAATGACGACTTTGTTTTTGCTTCTTTTGCTTTCAGACTATAGCTTGGTTTGGAAGTGCAAATAATATTTTCCATGGTGACCACGTTTGGCCCGAGCCAGATCCAGTGGAAAGTACGCTGACCATCTCTAGGGTGAGTTTAACCCTGTGACCCCTGAGAGGGACTAGCACATATTAAGGTCATGAGAATAAAGGAAATGATCACCAACTAAAGAAGCTCTTGATTGTTATACAAATTCTCCTTGTCAGCACTTTAGTAAATGTATAGAGAACAGTATGGAGAACATGCATATTGATGTTAGGGTATAAAGTGTTAACAAAGAAGAAATGCAATTGAAAGAAAGCAAAATAACACATTATGTTGTTGTAGCCAAAAGTATCATTATTTAGCCTTTTAATTAAGTATTGCATGCTTAGATTAAAGTTGAACCTGTGTTAAGCCATTATGACAAGATAACCACTTTATAGATGTTGGTTGACTGCTTAACCCTTTAACTCCCAGATCAAATTTGTAATTCTCTTTACTGTCAACCACACAATTCCTATAATGTTAGTTCAGAGAATTTAGTATTGGATCAACTAATTATCACCCTATTGATATTTTTTTTTATTCTCATCACTTGTCTGCATGATATTGCATTGATATTGTGAGGAGAAATTCTGTCTTGGTCACTCATGGGAGTCAAAGGGTTTATACAGGTTGACCAACAAATAACATGTGTGATGTTTGTGAATAATATTTGACTTAATTGTTCAAAGAAGAAACCTTATCTGCAATGGGTTGAGGACCTTTGAACTCAAAGAACTTACATTTACATGGATAAAATTTTGTTGAATTTTTTAATAGATTATTTTTAGTTTTATTTGAGTGGATCAGCTTTGAGTGATCCTTCAATACAGGTTGAAGACAGTAGAAACAGACTGTTGGGATTATGTAAAGGGTGACCTGTATGATTGCCTAATAGAGGTGATCACCTATTAGAGGTGAAATTTACAGTTTTTAAGGGAAAAAAATTTGGGACTTTGACATTACTGACTGCTTAATATATGTTTAATACAGTGCATGCAGCTTAATACATGTTTGACTGTATACTCCAGGCCATTCAACAGCTTAATGTGCTCTTACTTGGCTGTCTTGCTACAACTATATACAGTCAAGTGAAGTCTCTATCTTCATGAGTTAAGTCAATTATTTCAACAAAACTTGTCTGTATTTTTAGAACTCTGAGGACAACATGACAGAATATGAAGAAAAAAATTGGAATATATTGGTGTATAATGTAAGCACTTTGCACTTTTCTAGATTACAGGGTCTTCGTAATTCTTTCATTCACTCTACATAGTTTGTTAAAAAAAATTGAAAATGTATAATTTCATTTAGGGTTTTAAAAATGTTAGGTGTCTGCTGGTGGATGACACAAGCTTTTGGCAACTGGCTGAATCAATATAATTGATTATATCAGTAAGAAGCCTTGGAAATTTGATGTGACAGTTACCCTTAAGCCAGCAATAAAAAATGTCCTCTCTGGAAAAATTGAATTTGAATTATCCTCAGTTATCCAAGAAGACTGTCCTCCCTGGGTTGGTATTTTTCAATCACTGCAGCTTTTAATATTTGTAAAATGAATATACCTCCTCCAATATAGCAGTCTTGATATTTTAATTTTGGGGAGAGAAAATAATGATTTGCTGCTCAAAGAACTTCAAGAAGAAAAACCACTCTCGAAGATCAAGGGGGATCCTGAAAACTTTCACAGGGGTCCAAATTGTGAGAGAACATGGAAAATATTTTGCACCAAATTGCTTCTCAGTTAGTTTGTACACACTCCCCCTACCTTCAGGCATCTACCTATCACCCACTGTTGAGTAGTAATATGTGACCATATTGACACAAGAATTTCTGTGTCATACAAATGGGTTGGGGAGGGATTCTGAGAGATTTTCTGAGTTAGACAAGTAGTGCAAAACCCACAAGTCTTGGTGGGAGGGGGGGTTTTGATCAGGACCCCAGAACCTCCCTCTGGATATACCATGGAGTATTATCAGGCAAGATGACAGCATTTTTCTGTGATATACCCTTGATTCAGTCATTTTCTGTTATTTAAAAGAATCAATTAGTTAGTATTGAGTCTTCTGTTCTCTTTGAGTTCCTACTTGTTGCTGTTATGTCCACCACAATGGAAACACAGATCTGACATATGTGTTATCACTGATTACAGTTAAGTCTGTAATGGTTTCCTATCATTTATCTACTTTAAGTGCCAAATGTTTCTTCTTTCATCAAATTGTAATTAAGTTCAATAACTTATCACTTATGAATTTGAAACAAAGAATGAATTTTAATTCCTAAAATGACTAGATTTTTTTGGTGCAGAGGCTCAGATGAAGATATATGGAATGAGATAATGAAGGAGGCCAGTGAGGCACTGACAAGAAGAAATCTTCTAGGAAAGCACAGAACTGCAAATCCACAGAGAAAGCTGCTAACAGCAATGGCACCAGTTCTAGGGCTACAGACACCACTGCAAAGGAAGCCAGAAAAAATGAAGCACAAGCTGCAAGCCCCTATCAGTGCAATGAACCTGAGGTGGATTCCAATGGTAGAAGCAAAGTTAGACTGGCTGAAAAAGCAAACAGGGGAAAGTCTCTACTATTCTGTGCCCCAACTTTCTCTCCTCCCCCAAAGCCATGCCCACTTGCAAGG